TTTAGCCTTTATATTCATCAAGGGCTTCAGATGTAGACTTCAGAATTTCCAAATACAGTCATGAAAGGCTATGGCAGGATGAAGTAAGTATATTCATTGTATAATCTTCAGCACTACAGTTTTCCTGACTGTATTTTGGTATTTCTCTTTTTATCTATAGAATCTAAAAACACCTAAAAGTGGTATAGATGGTCTTCAGCTTGTGAGAGGTTCTCCTAAGTTTGTTTTCTGCTTTTCTCTGAGGGTAAAGAGGATGAGTAAGTGGACTGTTAGAATTCCTAGTAATGTTAGTGTTTGTTTTGCTGGATCTTTGTATGTAGATAGGACACCAGAGCTCTTCAGAGCTGGCACAGGAGTAGCTACACTATAGTAGTAATATAGTAGTAGAGCATTGAGGGATGCTCGTGCATGTGTGATTGTCCATTGGCAGAATCAATGAGTCTATGATTACTTCAACAAAAATGCTAATTAGAGAGCAAACCACTAAATCTATGATTGCTTTCTGTAATGAATGCTAATTCATGACCCTTAAGATAATGTATGATTGGATTTGAAAGTCATTTTTGACAGAGCCATTTGCAGATCACATCATGCAAGTTGGTAGAGTAGTTAGCATAAGTATATGAATGCTTCCTGTGAATTGGATTAAAACTATGAAATTGTGGGAGACCCTGTATGTAGGTTTTGGTTGTGTTGAAAACCTGAACTGTGAACGTTTGTGTGCATGTGGGAGTGATGGTGCATGTGAGAGTGATGGTGCAAGCCAACCAGCCTACCAAGCCATGTGCTCTATTGTAGGGTGCTAAGTGTATGTCTAATGTTTGTTCTGATGGACTGTGATGCCGAGTGAAGTAGGGATTGCTCTCTGTCCTTTATTCAGATTTTGGGAGTAGGGAAGGAAAAGCATAGTGTTCTTTGCAGCCAAATATAAATGCTAGATGAAATAGCCTTTTAATAGATAGCATGATTTTTAAGCTTGAGTTCTTTGAGGAACTGTCCTAAGAAAGGCAGAATATGTTTCTAAAGATAAAAGCAACTTTTCTAGAGACATTTTGTAGAAACATGCTGATAGTGAATTTCTGAAGGAGAAAACAGACTTCCCATGAGTCTCACATCCTCCCATATGCTGACTTGCTTGTTAAATGTTATTAAATGATTTGAGAAGACAGGCGTTAAGTGTAGCAAAAAATAGGAGGCCAGTTGTATGATGACACAGGTATACATACCACTGACTTTTCACAGATAGGTCGTGTATTCAAAGTGCTTGATGAAGTGTAAAGGATGTGTACAAATTTCTTCGTCTTGCTTACAAAAGAAGTGACAAAGCACAAATCACTATGTTCTTTGTATTGGGGGGGGGGGAGAAGAGGAGGAAGAAGGGGTCCTGTGCACAGATGCACACAACCGCTCTAATTTATTTATTATAGGTTTAATTAATTACTGTATTTCTTAGTACTGAGGGGAGACTCATAGCCTAGAGTTCTGGTTTGAACTTTTTCACATTTTGTTTGTTTAGCTTCATTACAGTAGCCTCCAGAAGAGTGACTTGAGAGTGAGGTACTGAAAATTATGTACTTGACAAACCAGAGAGTAAGTAGTAGAAAAGATTATGGACCCAGGGCAGAGGAGGAGAGGGTAACCTCCATCCCCTTTCCTCTCCTGTACATCACCTAACACTCCTCAGTTTTCCTTTAGGTTTTGTAGTTGTCGATTCAGGCCAGAAACATTTGACACTTTTTTCCTGGGTGACTGAGGTGCAATTTATGAAAGTGTGAACTATATGTAGGTAGTAAGGTCTAGTAAGAGCCAAGAACCCAAAGAGGAAAGTCCTGTGGAGGGACTATTCGGCAGTAACTTGTGGTCCCTTGAAGGGGATGCTGCCCATCTGAGTTGCTGGTGTTGAAATATAGTTCCAGCTTTCTTGCTGCTGCTATGGCTTAGCTGAAAGGCCAAGATGCTCATGGAACCTGTACCTTTTGTCCTCCAGGGCAGCACCCAGCAAGATGGGGATGGGGAGAATGGAGCCCTGGCTGTTTCTGGGAATAGTATATTATTATTATTATTATTATTATTATTATTAATTTATTTTAAGGACTCCAGGAATATATCCAAGGAGATGACAATTGTTGACTGTTCTTGGCTAAAGTGATCTAAAGAAATGCAAGTCAGAATAGCTCATACTTCATGCATTACTTATCTTTTTATTTAAGGGGTAATTATGTAAGAGTTTTTTCAGATGACCAGGAGGAAAGGGACCCTACTTCCTGACTCACTTTGCCTTTTTCTTTCATTAATTTTACAATTAAGATCTCTTGGGACTGGAGAGATGGCTCAGTGGTTAAGAACACATACTGCCATTCCAGAGAATCCAAGTTTGGTTTCCAGCACTCATGTTAGGTGGTTCAGAACTGCCTATAATTACAGGTCCACAGGAGCTCGCTCTCTTATCTGGTCTCCTTGGACATCTGCACTTGTGGGTATATGCCCATACACAGACATTCCCCTCACCAGTACACATAAGCACATCATTGAAAATTAAAATTGTGAAAAAACCAGGGGAGGGGAGATCTTATACCTCTGATCTCCTTGGGCACCAAATTTGCATGTACACAACCACACCCACACACATACACATTTATGTATTTATATATTTATGTATTTATATATTCATTCATTCATTCATTCATTCATTCAAGGAAAAATCTGCTGCTTTTGTAGTGTAGAGGACTGGCAGAGATGTGATGATCATTCCCACAGTCTGCCTTTCCTTGGTCTTTTTTCTTTTTAAACTTTTTTCTTACATATTTTTGATTGCTTAAGAGAGTAAAGGTATTATTTTCTATAAATTATTGATAAATGATGATTATTAATTCATAGCTGCTTTTATATTGGAGGTAGGCCTTTTCAGATATCTGGTATTCATGGTGGGGGAATTATAGATTATTCATTATAACTTTCAAATTAAGCTCACTAAAATGTGAATTAGCTTTTACATTTCAATGTTACATTTATATTTCAAGATGTTCTATATCATCTGATTAAAATTCATAAAGCAGGCTGGAGAGATGGCTCAGAGTATAAAGCCTGAACTACACAAGTGTGATGCCTGAAGTTTAGATCCTCATCCCTGATAAATGTGGTCGCGTAATTCCAAGGCTCTGAAGGTGAAAAGGGAATCTCCTGAATAGGCTGGCTAGTTGTATTAATGAAGTCAGTGAGCTCTGGGTTCAGTTGAAAGAACTTACCTCAATGAATATGGTAGAGAGCTACTGTGCATGTGCACGTGCACGTGCGCATACACACACACTCACACACACACACAAAATTTGGGCAGCACAAATTGGACTCAGGGAGTAATAATTTTTTTAAAGTGAAGATCCAAAGTTAGTATAAGGAATTTGGGGAGGGGTGGATCTGGGAGGAGTTAAGGAAAAGAATAGAACATTAATATGATCAAAATTGATTGTATGCGTCTATACAGTTCTCAGAGAACTAATACGAATAGATTAACCACTAAGCCTTGTTTCTACATGACTTACACACTGACATTTACCCATTGAGTCTACATGTAAGCTACATTCAGAGCCCATTGAGTCTACGTGTAAGCTACATTCAGAGTCCAGTCACACCAACCACATGTTCTGGTAGTAGGTGGTCAGAGGCCTGAATTTACTTACTCCCTGTACCCCATATGCTGGCTATGGTGACTCAGATTTGTAATCCTATACTGGAAGCAGGAGGATCAGAGATTCAAAGTCATCCTGGGCTACATAGTGAGTCCATGGCTAGCCTGGGCTATATGAAATCCTGTTTTAAATAATAAATAAATATGAAAAATTGCCAATACACAGACACCCCCCCACACACACACCACACGTGCGTGCAATGCAAGTGATATATAAACAAATAAACCACCTGCAGTAGAGCATTAGGTTCAGAATTACCTTTCATTGTAAAGTCTGAGGGCCTGTACAGTCTGTTATTTAAGATACTTTGGTAAAAAAATTAGTTATTTGAGTGTTCATGATTGTTTATGAAGAGAGCAGTAAAATCAACATCAGAAAAAGCAATGTGGTATGAGGGTGGATTTGCAGTTGTAGCTCTTAGTCTCCCCCCTCTCTCCCTCCCATCTCACCTTCCTTCTCATCCTGCTCTCAGCAGACTTGCTGGGAGGAAGACCATCATTCTCTTTTTGTTCTTTCATATTGAATATCTGGAATGTGGATTTTTATGTTTTTTACATTATTGGGGCGGTGAAATGGATATGAGAAAAGGTAGTTGGCATTTAGAAATGTGATGTATTTAAATTTAGAAATGTATATTGAAGATGTTAAAAATAAGAAAAACTAGAAGAAAAACATCTACTAACAACAAAACCTTGTAACAACAACTAAGTTTCTGAGTCCTGTTATTTGTCTTGAATGAGACAGAGATATAAATCAACCAACCAGGTCCTGCAAATAAACACTGTGGCCACTATGGTCCAGAATGTAACTCGTGTTCTGGCCCACCAGGAATGTGTTGTCTACTTTTGCCCCAGTTCCAAACTAGAAAAAAATGCCTTAGGTTTTAGGCCTTCTCTGCTTGTTTATTTCTGAAATGTGTCAGTATAAGGATATTGCCCTTTCCAGAGTGCAGGATGCATTTCAGATATGCCTCAGGGGGGAGGGCTTTGACAAGTGTCTGTGATTTTTCCCCCCCTATGATGTGCTTGCACTTGTTTCTTAGAGTTGCAGGGTTGCAAGTCCCTGTTTGACCTGTCTGTGCTCAGTGGTTTCCTAAGATGTGAACAGTCTTTGAGTTTATTTGCCTGCCTTTAAGATGGACGTGCCTAGTTTAGGCAGCATTATGTGTCCTCTGTAGGCAGCATTTTGACTTTGTATGGCGCTTCTCTCAGCAGGACTTTTGGGGTCTGAAATCCAGGCCAGTGTCTAGTTTTGTTATCTGGAAGACTAGAAAAGCAGTTGTGATCTAACATGCTGCTGCCATTTCTATTCCAGGGACAGGGGAGAGTGGCAAGAGCACCTTCATCAAGCAGATGAGGATCATCCATGGGTCGGGATACTCTGATGAAGACAAGAGGGGCTTTACCAAACTGGTGTATCAGAACATCTTCACAGCCATGCAGGCCATGATCAGAGCTATGGACACTCTCAAGATCCCATACAAGTATGAACACAATAAGGTAAGTAGACTCATTGGAACAGTTGGCAGAATGGGGTCTGAACCCTTCTAGAGTTGACAGTGGGTGTTTGAAATGTACTCTTTCCCCTCCCTTGCCCTTATGACCTCTGTCCGCTCCTTGGCCCTCCCCTCCATGGGTACACAGGTACTGACTTGTGGAGGCCGGAAGTATCTTCCTCTATCACTCTTCACCTTATTGGATTGTTTCTGTTCTCAAGCAAAAGATACCTTAACTGTTATCTGGCCTGTTTGATACTAGAAAATTGTTCACAGTTGCAAAACTGGTTCTAGCTTTTGGAATGCCACAGCAACATTGGAATTTCCTTTATTATTGCCTAAGTTTTGCTTCATTGAATGAGAAGTTTCACTGGCTATGGGAGGAGCTGTGGACCAGATGGCATAGCACTGCATGTCTTTTTATAAGCCTCACTCTTTTCTAAGGATTCTAAACTTAGGAAGCAGCTTGTAATACGTTTCAGTAAGTTGCACATTTTTACCAGACTACGATTAATTTTCCTTGAGTGTAGGTATCCATGACTTTGTCCTTGGGAGTTCTTTACTAAAAAAGCATGTTGATATAATGGTGAACTGCTTCAGTCCACCCCACATTGAAGAAACACATGTTTTAAGATTTCTTTTGAACATACAGTGATAAAGAGTTTGTTTATTTATGAATACCATCTTATCTTTTCTCTGAATACAAGTGTTCATAGCTAACGATAAAAGAGATTGTCATTTAATAAAGCCTGCTTATGTAGAGTGTATGACCATGAGATTACTACCAAGCTATGTGCATCCCATGAGTATGAAAAACAAGTGACTTTTTGTTTTGATTTAAGCCTCATCTTACAGATAACTTGTATATATGCATGTGCTACCATAGTAAAAGCTCTGCATTCTGGAATGTTTCTCTCACAGATACTTGTGTATATGCATGTGTTACCATATGTAAAAGCTCTGCATTCTAGAATGTTTCTGCTGCAAACATTTCTGTCGAGGATACTCAACCTTACCTAGTTTCTAAGTTTAGTCTTTGAAGTTCTGATGACCAGGCTCATTTAGCAACTAGTCTTTAGTTCCCTTTGCCTAAATAGCTGTTACTATGACACCTGGTTTTTCTTTTCATTTGGAGTGGAGGGATCTAAGTGGACCAGTAAGTACTATGCTACCTAATAATGAGGAAGGACATTTCATAGGAAAGTATCTCATTAGGGTTTGGGGCATGATTCAGTCAGTAAAGCACTTACCTTGCAAGCCTGAAGATCTGAGTTCTTTCCTCAGAATTGAGCTAAAAATTCTGAGGCATTATTACATGGGCATGTAATCCCAGCATTGGAGATGCAAAAGCAGGAGAATCCCTAAGGCTCCTTTGCCAGCCAGGTAGCCTCATTGGTGAGCATCAGGCAAATGAGAATGGTACCAGGGACATCTGCCAGCTCTCATTCTCTTGCTTATGTACATGCATAACCACTCCTAAGATGTAAGCATTTGTTAAAAATGTTTAAATTATTCTTATTTCTTTGTATTTCCTTTTAAAAAAACCCCTCAAGATCTTCAATGTTATTTTCCAAGAAAAAGTAGCCAAAATTCTGAAGGCTGTATTATTCCTGTCTTTGATCAACTCAATAAGAAATTGCTACTTAAAAACAAAACAAAAACCACAAGGGAATTTTCTTAGTTTGCAGAATGACCATGTACCGACTGCACTGAGGAATTTCCACCTGTGTAATAAACAGAACTAACAGTCTTGTGTTTCGGTCTGTCTGTCAAAAAGTCAGGGGAGCCAAAGATTTGTAGGCTGCAGAAACCAACCACTGGATGAGGAAGTAAGAGGAAGACTTTTGAGGGTGTGAGCTTACAGGAGGCCTGAGAAGCTGAAGGACTGTTCTTGGGAGAGATGAACTTCAGCCAATTTCAGTCTTTCAGTACTCACTTCTGATTCAGATTCCTGCGAAAAGTGTTGGACTGGCCCAGTGTGGATTCTTTGCTAGTTCTTTAGACAGGGGAAGGAAGTCTGGTCAATGTGATTGACAGTCCCTGGGGAAAATCTGGGTACTGCTAGTGGCAAAAGAACAATTCTGGCCCAGCTCACAAATGTCTACTACAAAAATGTACAGTTGATTTATAACATGGAATGACATGTGAACTCTCTGTAGATGCAAGTCTTACTTAGCATTTACTTTAAAATAAAATTTCTTATTCTGGACTTACAGGGTGGGAAGGGACTCAAAGAGGTTAGTGACTCAGTGATAGCTATCTGCTATCCAGTGTTATATGCACTGTAGTGAGTGTATACCAGCGTCTGAGTCCTAGCATGGAACAGCAAAATAATCTTGCAGCCTTTACAGTTTGTTAAGAAATCTTCATTTCTTCGTAGTCTAGGCCTGAATTTTCTCATGTGTGGGAGTGAGACAAATAATGTTAAGGTGATTTCAAAGTTCAGAAGATCATGCATGTGAAATACCTTTAAAATTTTTGGCAGTGTCAAATTGAGGAAAAGCCATCTTCAGAGTGATGGTTGTTGGGATGGGATGCCAAGCGAGGCACAGAGCACTCCTTACCTGGATGTGTTGCAAACAGAATGGGTTTTTAACATGTGGCATTTTCTAAAGCCATCTTTCCAAACTAAGGCAGGTGATGAACTGGACAATACTTCTGAAAGTCACCTTGTGCTGACCCCTCTGCTTTAAAACACAAGAGAGGGCTGGAGTGAGGAAAGACTGGCACAGGCTTTGTCCCTTCTGTGTTCTTACTGAAGGGTAGCATATGCATAGAAGAACATGTGTTCTAAGTAATGAGTGTCTAGTGTCACCACTTTGATATGTCTGTACTTAAGCTCTTAGTTTGGGTCAGCACAACCAGTACCTTAGGCTCATCACTCCTTCCTTATTCTAGATAAATCTACCAACCACGGGGGGTTACCTCCGTGATGTTCAAGGGCATGTAGTTTTGCCAGTGTTTCAACCTGTACTCGTGAAGGCACATATTGTATGAACTTTGATATATGTATTTCACTTAAATCATATTTGAGGGGTCCCATAGTACTTTGCCTGGTGGTGAAAATTTTTTCATCTATTTTGTCAAATAGTCACTTTTGTTTAACATCTAGTTTTTATAGGTATTCTACAGGGTTTTTTGTTTGTTTTTATATATGTTTTCTTTAAAAAATGTGTTCCTGACTGTCACAAATAATACAAATAAATGGAGGCAGTCTTGAAACTGGCTTTGGTAAACATAGCATTATGTTTACCCCCCCCCCAAAAAAAAACCAAACTTTTGCCCTGTCTCTATTGAATTGCCTGATTATTATTGCTTTGTAGGAGCTCTTTATATATTAAAGCTACAACTCTCTGCTTAGTAAATGCAATTTTCTTACTAGTTCCTCCAGTGAAAGTTGTTAATCTTAGTCCAGTTTGTCCTTTTTCTCCCTCTAATTAGTCCTTTTAAAGTAATTTTTTTGCTTACTTTAAATTTATATAAATAACTTGTACTTTTTCTAAATTTTCTATTTTTGCTTTTTACATTTAGATCTAAAATAAACTTCATCATATATTGAAGAATACAGTGTGAAATTAGGAGCCTTGTTTTAATTTTTCTGCCTTGAAATCTTATTGACCCAGCTCATTTATCAGACACCATCCAGGGCCATGCAGGATTGCCCTGGTCACTGATCACATGATTATGTATGCAGTTGGTCCCAGGTTGACTATTATGAGCCATTTGTTTATTTCGTGTCTCTTTCTGTCTGTCATTACTAAACTACTGATGACCAAGCTGTATAAGGAGTTTTGATATTAGACAAGGTAAGTCATTCCACTCTAGTTTTCCTCTTTTGAGACTGCACTAAAACTGAGTTGATTCCCTTATATTTAAAGGTTTTTTTGGTTCTGTTCTTTTTTTCCAGGAAAAAAAATGTCTTTAACTGGTTAGGCTTTCTAGGCAGAACTTAAATTTTTTGTACCTTACTCTGTAAAGCAACACTTTTCTTTTCCTGAGGCCTCTGCCTGTTTGCTGTTCAGCTCGTGTTAATTTGTGGCTAAGTACAAAGTCCTTAATGTTTCCTAGATTGATAACCTGACATTAAAAACCAGCAGTTACATCACTTCTGAGCAGTTGATAGAACTTGCTTTGTGCCTTCATTAGTATTCGTGGGGCCATGCTCTTTGTCCTTTTTAGCATTTCCTTTAGAAAGAGTAGAAGCTGGGCTAAGTGCAGTGGGGATCAATTTCCCTTTCCAACAGTGTCTTTTGGGCTGACGTTTCCCCTGCAGCGCCCAAATTAGCAAACACATTAGCAGAATCCTTTCCTGTTTCCTGTCCCCAGTGTCTACAGCACTGGCATTGAACAGGTTTGTCTGGATTTCATTCTTCATTGTGATCTCTAGCTTTTGTGGAACTAGGCCATTTTCTATGGCTCAGTATAAAAGCTTAGGTTAAGAAAGAAGGTAACAATGAAAGCGGTCTTTGTCACTTGTTAACTATAGTGTTTTAGTCTGGTTTTTAAATGTTTTATTTGTGTGTTTTGATACAACTTGTTTTTGTGAGTAGGAAAAAACAAACAAGCCTGTATGTTGTTTAGTTTGGTTTGATCTGGGTTTTGATTTTTGAGATAGGGTGTCTTAGTTACTTTTCTATTGCTGTGATAAAACATTATAACTAAAGCATTTTAGAGAAGGAAGGGGTTTGGGTTTTTTGTTGGTTTGTTTGTTATTTGTTTTGTCATATGATTCTAGACAGGTAAGTAACTATTACTGTTACGGTAGAACTGGGTGGCAGCAGGCAGGTGGGCATGGTGCTGGAGCAGCAGTGGAGAAATCACAGCTCTAATTACAAACAAGAAGCAGACAGGAAACTCAAAATGACAAGTCTTTAAATTCTCAAGGCCCTCCTAAACAGTGCCACCAACTGGGGACCACATAAAAATGGCAGAGCTTTTGGGACATTCTCCCTCATGCCACCACAGAAGCCTTAAACCAACGTGATCCTTAGGCCTCAGCCTCCT